CACAGGAGACGAGACGATGCGCCGTGCGCGGCCGTGGGCGTCAGAGAGGATGAGCTGTCGCGATCTCGCGGGTGGTTTTCCTTTTCCGATCCGGGCGCTGCCTGGACGCGTCCGGACAGAATTGAACCCAACAGATCGCCGGGGTCCATCCGGGGTCCATCCATGAAATTCGTCTGATTGATCCATGCATGATGATGGCGGATTGGCAGTCACCGAACCGAACGGCTAACCGGAGACGATTCAATTCGCCAGTCAGACCGCTGATGCCACTTGTGACTTGTGAGTCAGGACTGCCCTTTTCGTGTTTTTTTTTGCAAATAAAGCCATATAAAGGAGAACTGAGAGGCGAGCAGTCCGCAGTCCTCTTCTCTTCCGCCGCCGGAAGGCTGGAACGGCAACGACCTGATCACGGGAGAGCCGTCTGCGCTAGAGCGATCTGGATGGATGAGAAAGAAAACAACGTAACGGGCGAGAGGCCATGTGAACTCTGAAGCACAGTAGTACACAGTACCAGACTAGGTCGTGAACACACGCATGCAAATGCAGATCAGCATATACAGTGTATGTAATTAATACCTTGAGCACGTACAGGTCCGGTCCCGTCTGCTTCTCTGACGGCACGCTGAATATGGCGATTGTGAAGAGAGGTACCGAAAGAATGTAATTATGGGATCCGTACCGGTCAAAATAGCTCAAGTTTAACTAAATTTATAGTAAATCATATTAATATTTAAGTTTGTAAATAAATTTATTATAAAAATATATATTATGACCAATCTAACGATACTAATTTTGTATCAGGAATATTATTAGTTTTTTATATATTTTTTATCAAAGTTGAAACTGATTGACTTTTCAGAAAGTAAGAATTGCATTTTTTTTTTTTTTGGCCGGAGGAAGTACCTGGCTTATCAGCAAATTCGGCTTCCTAGGAAGAGTACTTACGTACCGACGCACACTGGCCCTCTGTATAGTGCAGATAAGGTCATATGCCTATCGCAAGTGCTACCATCACACAGTAGTACGTATATCCAGGCCGGACTCGTATGTTTTTTTTTCTTTCCCGAGTGCGCTGCAAGCCTGCTGAAAGTGCCAACTGCTTCGGAGCCCGGTAGAAGCCCACTTGGTGCTGGATCAGCATCTGAAGAATCTTGCCCATCTTGGGTTGTGCTTGTGGCCACGGCACTACTATGTGCAAAGGAGCAAACCGGACCGGATGGCGGATGGGACATTCCGCCCTTTTTTTCTTTAGAAAATGGAACGTCGAGCCTTGTTTTTTTACACCAGTCTATATTTGGCGTCGTGCTACGTCCTTGCGCGACACCCCTCCGCGACGGGCCGGCCCAATAGTGGCCTTCACCTCCCCCGAAGTCCCTCTTCCAACGCACCCTAATTCCAAATCGTCATTCATTTCCTATCCGTTTTGGTAGCGCAGTCGGGCACTGAATCCATCGCTGTCCGAAGTAGAGCTGGTGAACGGCGGTGGCGAATAGGGAGGGGGAGAATCGAACGCACAGCCAAACCCTTACCCCCCCTCCCCCCGTCGACCGCAAGGAGCTCCACTTCGCCGTGCCGGTCACCGCCCCTGCCAGCGGCGCCGTCCTAGCTTGACAACATGGTGACCCCCCTTCCTACTCCTCGCCGACGCTATTCCATTCATGTTTGCGATTTATTTTTCTTTTCGTCCGGTGATTCGGTTGATCTCCACACTGACGCTTTGCTCTTTGGGTGATGTTCCCTCTACGTCGTCGCAGGCCGACTCCCCTCGCAAGAGGAAACTATGCTGGTTTCTCAATGATCAATGATGTTAGTCTTCCTAAGAGATTTTGGACCTTTCAAAAGCAAAAAAAAAAATAGTGAAAAGCCAAAAAGGCAGGTGCTTAGTTTTTGGGCTTTTGGCGTCTAGGAGTTGTTTGATTTTTAAAAAGTCTAAAATCTAATCTCCTACAACTAAAAAGAACAAAGTGGAGACATTTTTTGGTGCGACATTTGTTTTGGTTTGTCCGTCTGTCCACGCCTGCGATCCCACGACATCTCCCGCATGCTGCGTCCTTTGGTGCGATTCTCTTTGATTGTATATTGCCTGTCATGTGATAGATGAATCACGGTAAAATAGGAAGTAGAAAATTATTGTGCTATCCATATACACATTGCATGTTTGCATGCACCAGCATACATGACAACGAGCAAAAGAAAAGAGAATTAACACAGAAGGAAAGAGAATTAAGACAAAATGAACCTCTTTGTATTTCTGAGAACCTTGTCAAATCTGCCTACATTTAATTACTTTCCCTCTTTGCATTTACAAAAGGGACAACTTTTTTCCTCCTTTCATTTGGTTTTACGCTCACGTGTTCCATCGTCCTCGCTTGCTGTTTCTTGTTGAAATTGCCCTTGGGTCTGTTCATTTTGAATCATTTCCCCATATTCTAATTAAACTACAAAATTTTGAATTAGGATATGAGGTAAGACATGCAAATAGATATTTCAAAACTACCTGTAGAGTCCAAAGAACTTAATAAATAAATCCTTCTGGAGGCAATGCAAATTCTCTCTGATCTTTCATTTGGTGTAGTTAGTGTTATCATAGTACCCGCATGTATTCATGGGAAATAAATCGTGGACAAAACGTGGACACTTTTTGGTGCGACATTCCAACATGGGTCCATCGTCCTGTCAATATCCTTAAGGTAGATCACATAAAGGGTGAGAGTCCCTCTATGAGATTGCTCACAAGAGACTCAAACTTATATCTGATCATGGTAATGTTGAATTGCTTTGCATCAAAAGCATCAGCAATGATAAACGGGGACATAGGTTTTAGTATGCATAGTGGAGGAAAACTCAACCTTGGCCTTCTCAGCAGCTTTTCTGAGCTTTTGCAGTGCTAACTTGTCCTTACTCAAATAGTCAAGAGGTACACCATAAAATTATGCAACACTAATAAAAATGTCACCATTGGTTGCCTTGACTTAAAAAATGTGTCGAAATTAAAAATTACAACACCTAATTCAACATCTTGGAACAGACACTCAAGTGGATACCTTATTCTACAATATATGTCTGTGTGGAATAGTTTTAAAGCCACACATATTTATACGATGAGTATAACATACTTTGTTTTAAAATTTTATGAGAGATTTTTTAAGACACGCAGTATTATCCATGTGACATGCACTAATATTTACATATATACTCAAACCTGTGTGTACAGGATTATATGGAGATACAACGGAACTTATTCATAGATTTATTGGCGCATGAAAGAAATGAATATCGGAGAATTCTTTCTGCCGATATAAAATATTATCTTAGCCATATCACGAAAAAGTCTATACAGTAGAGTTTGTGAGCCTGCGACGTCCGCGCTCTCCGTGACTGTGTTAATTTTACGAACTTTGTTTTTTGAATTAAATGTCACTTTAACGTCGGTATTTAATTTAACAATATTGTTATCTTATCGTACGATCCGTGTGTTTTTAGTACAAAAGATTTAGTTGTCCCGTAGCAACCCACGGGAGTCTAATATAAAAGTAAACAAAAACTTAAACAAACAGGACTAAAAGGCAAGTTGCAATCTTTATCTCTAGAGTTAACACACAGTAACTTCTATCTAATCGTAGAAATCTCTACTTTCAGCCCGAACATGTGAATGAAACAACCGAGTAGGGGAGCCGAACACGCGAGAAGGAAACGGATACTGCTCCATGTTGCAGAACGAACGAGCGATTGCTCCCCTCCCGTGTTCGGTTCGGTCTGATCGACCTCGGCCAGCAGGAGATTCGACGAAAACGAGATCACGGGCACGCGCTGGAGCTGGACCCAACCCAAGACCCAACCGCCGGTTTTTCCTTTTGTTCCTTCGCTCCGCGACGGAGCGACGGAGAGCCTGCCGGCCCCCACCTGTCGGGCTCGGACCCAACGGCCCATCACCCATGCCGTACTGCCGCTTCGCCGCACCTGACCGTATCGCGCGCTGTCGTTGGAACCGGCCAAAGCTGACGCGCCCCACGACGGCAACGGCAACTAACCCCTTGCTCGGCGGCCAGTCGGCCACGGCCAGCCAGCCCAGACCGCTATCCTATTAGCCTGTCACCAACCCGCCCGTCCCGCGAGCGCGAGATCTCCCGCGGCGCCGTCTCCAGTGCGCCACGCTGTGCTGTTAAGGGGCGGGCATGTGGTCGTTTGTTAGTGCATGCGCTGCAGGTTTACGAGCAAGACAAGGACTCCCCGTACATGGCTTCATTGCAGGCGGTGCTGAAATGGGCAACTGTGTTATCATGTGATCCGTGGGCCCTTGTTCACAATGCTGAGTCTAATCATGTCCTAAATGATAGTACTGTTGATGCTATTATAGGAAAAGTATCTTCCCGAGTTGGCTCAATAGAACGTGCAAAACCTATGGATTAGCTTTTCATAACTAGCTAGCTGGTGACTCGTGTTGCCCCCATTTCACGGCGGCACAGCGCCACACCGGATCCGGATCGCCGGTTCACCCTGGCTTGAGATGAATGAAATCCAAGCGCCTGTCCACCAGTCCAGGCACAGCCCAGGTGGACACCAATCTCGCTGCTATTTTTTTAGTTCCCATCACCCCGGTGGCCCGGTCCGCTCCGCTGTGTCGCGCCCGGGAATCACTCCGCACGCGAACTGCAGTCGCGGACGCCCCACGCCCAGCTCAGCTCGGCACGACCGCCACCCCCCGCGCCGCGCCGCGCCGGAGGCTGGAGAGCTGGAGCCCATCGAGCAGCGGCCGGCACGGCACTCGCCTTTTCTTTAATCCGGGACCCCGCCCTGAGCTCCCCAGCACTACACTGCATCGCGCTCGCCTCGCGCGACGTTGACATTGGCTTGGCATGGCCCCTTCCTCCCCACCACCGCCACCATCACCACCTCGTCGTCCACTTCCTCCCCTCCCCCTCCACGCGGAGTGGTGAGCTGTCGCCCCTCTGGGAGAGGCGGAGAGCTCAGGCGGCCACGAGGGTGGGAGTCTCGTCGCAATGTCGACGGCGGAGGCGGCGGCGGAGATCGTGCGGGAGATTGCGGCGGTGGGCGCCGCCGACCTGGCCGCCGCCGCCGAGCCGCTGCGCACGGACTGCCTCCGCCTCGCGCGGAAGGTGTCCCTGCTGTCGCACCTCGTAGCCGAGGTCGCCGACGCCGGGGAGGGCGATGCGGCGGCGGCGGCGGCGTGGGTGCGCGAGCTCGTCAGGGCGCTCGAGGCTGCCAGGAGGTTCGTCACGCTCGGACGAACGCCGGCGCCGGCGCCAGCCTCGGCGGGGGCGTCAGATCAGGTGAGAAGATGTTGGGATGGACTCGTATGGTTACATGGAGCCTTCCGTTCAAGCTGCATTGTTCACTAGTTGGTGCGTTCCCCTTCGTGGGATTTTGTCGAACGCCTCGTGCGCGTCTTCGAAATAGTTCTGTTCGTCTGCTTGCTAGTCTTTTCTCCCGTTTGGTTTCTGCTATGGATTACCAGCAACTAGTCTACCTGACCGTTGTTCTGTACCTGCTGCGCTAATGTTTGTGGGATTCCGTCAAACTCGTGGTGTTCGCGTCTAATTTGACTGTTGCCCTTCAATAGAATCCCACTTTAAGCTGACTAATTGCTACAAAGGCCCCATTAACTTGTATCTAAAAATTGCGAATAATATAAATCGGTGTCAGTGGGCGATATCTAGCATTTTCAAGGAGCAAAAATTGGAACTCAACCTGGTTTCATCTGACCTGGTCTGCTTGTTACAGCGCTCATCTAAAAAGGCTAATTGTCGTGTTTTTGTTTCTCTGATTATTGAAGTTATGCTCCTTTCAGAAACTCTGATTATTGAAGTTATGCTCCTTTCAGAAAAGAAGCGCATTGTAGACTTCCTATTTTATTTCAGTTAATAACAATCATGCATCCTTCCCAAGGTTGTTGAAATCATGATCCTAAATTGGCTCGGAAGTCGGAACTCCGATGTTAGCACAAATCGTAGGTTCTATGTCAACTACTTTGTTAACTCCAATGTTAACTACTAAAATCGTAAAACCATAGATTCTATTTAATAGAATCATAGAATCAACCTAATAAACTAAGATTGTAAAATCGCACCATAGAATCGCTATTTTAACAACCATGATCCCTCCTAGGTATTCATTGTCTTAGCAATGATGTTGTTTTCATCCATCATATATAACTTACTCAAATGTATTAATGGTTAGCTTCAAAGGACACGTTAATGGTTCTTATGCAGCATAAAAAAAGGGCGTATCCAGTGCAGAGAGCTCCCGCTCTGTGCGGGGTCTGGGGAAGGGTGTCAGTGGCAAGCCTTACCCTCGCCCGTGCAATGCATATGGGGCATGTGGATCTAATCAACATGTTATATAAAAGTGACCTGAGGTCCTTTCTGTCTTATTTCCTAAAAATGGAAGTGGAGTATGACAATGTAAAACATGATATATATAGGAGCTGCGGACATGGAAGGGAATCTGAAACATTTTAATGCCAAATATATAGGAGCTGGCATTTGGAAATCTGTTCTGGTTTGTATTGCTTCCTCATCTAACTTTCATGGAGGAGGAAGATATGAGAGACATAGAGCTCAGAAGAGAAAACATAGTAGCCAACATACCTTCTAGATTGATTTCTAGAGTTTATATTGCATGTACAACAACGCAGCATGTAGCTAACAGACTACTAGTCAACCAGATCTAAGTTAGAGAATAGGTCCAAGTCTAACAGAAGAACATGTACGCTATTTGAGCTGGATGTTTGTTAAGACTTCATGGTATTGGCAACCTTGGTATCACTAATACTTGCCTTTTTGTTCTCATAACTGTATGTCACTTCATAAATTTGTGTTTTACCTAAGCATTTATGATTGTGTTCCACAGTAATTGCAGCCCTCAAATTTGGTTGCATTAATGATTTGGCATTAAGCATGCCCCATGTTCTGACTTTTGCATCTCTTAGTAATGTTAGTACCATTTGTTCTGATCTCCCTTTTTTCTCCCTTTGTTAAGGACGCCATCTGCAAGAATACTGCTCTCCAGTTCAAATATGTGACCTGGCAGTTGCAAGCTGCTCTAGCAAACCTGCCACATAGCTGTTTTCAGATATCAGATGAAGTTCAAGAAGAGGTATAGTTAAGTTGGTTCATTGTGGAGATAAATCCTTATTTTTCAATTAATACCTTTTTGAACTTTTTAAAATTTATTTGTAGGTTGACTTAGTGCGAGCTCAGCTTAGAAGAGAAATGGAAAAGAAGGGAGGCTTTGATGTAACCATATTTATAAAAGTTCATGATATCTTAGCTCAAATTGACGACACTGCAACACAATCTCAACAACCCCATCAACAACCAGAGCAGTCACAGATGGAGAAATTCAGTAATGATCACCTGGAGTTGCAAAATGTTGTTTCGCTAGTTTCTGAAATAAGCGGGTTATCCAGATCTGACATGACGAAGATAACATCAGAGCTAATTGAAGGACTTCAAAATGTTGAAACTTCTGAATCTCCAAAACCAGACAATGTTGATAGCCAATCAAGTGATGAAACAAAAAGCCCATCCGGGGAAGTTAAGAAGCCTGACTCTGTAGCTATTCCTGAAGATTTCCGTTGCCCAATATCTCTCGAGCTGATGAGAGATCCAGTAATTGTTTCAACGGGACAGGTGAGGCTTCACATTATCACCTTTTTATTGGTCATGCACTACAAAATCTCTCTTTTGAACTGTCATGTATAATTTGCCAGCTGCTGACAAGCTGCTCACAAATTCTGTAGACCTATGAGCGCGCTTTCATTCAAAGGTGGATTGACTGTGGAAACCGGACCTGCCCAAAAACTCAGCAGAAGCTCCAGAATCTTGCATTGACCCCAAACTATGTGCTTAGAAGTTTAATATTGCAGTGGTGCGAGGAAAAGGGGATTGAACCACCTAGCAGATCTAAAAGTGATGGTTCTCCTCTTGAGGTTGGTGGCAACAGATTAGCAATTGAAGCATTAGTTCGCAACCTCTCTAGCAGTTCATTAGATGAACGGAAATCTGCTGCAGCCGAAATAAGATCTTTGGCCAAGAAAAGTACAGATAACCGTATACTTCTAGCAGAATCTAGTGCTATACCGGCTCTAGTGAAACTTCTGTCGTCGAAGGATCTGAAAACCCAAGAACATGCAGTTACAGCTCTTCTGAACCTCTCCATATATGATCAGAACAAGGAACTGATAGTGGTTGCTGGCGCCATTGTCCCAATCATACAAGTGCTCAGGATGGGTAGCATGGAAGCAAGAGAAAATGCAGCTGCAGCTATTTTCAGTTTGTCACTAATCGACGATAACAAGATAATGATAGGAAGCACCCCAGGGGCAATTGAAGCATTGGTTGAGTTGTTGCAGAGTGGTAGCTCAAGGGGTAAAAAGGATGCAGCAACAGCACTGTTCAATCTTTGCATATACCAAGCTAACAAGGTCAGGGCTGTTCGAGCAGGGATTCTGGTGCCACTTATCCGGATGCTGCAGGATTCATCCAGAAATGGAGCTATCGACGAAGCACTGACAATCTTGTCAGTTCTTGTGAGCCATCATGAGTGTAAAACTGCTATATCCAAGGCTCACGCTATACCCTTCTTGATAGATTTGCTACGGTCAGGCCAGGCCCGTAACAAGGAGAATGCTGCTGCTATTTTACTTGCACTTTGCAAGAAAGACGCTGAGAACCTTGCCTGTATAGGGAGGCTGGGTGCTCAGATACCACTAACTGAGCTGGCGAAGACCGGCACAGACCGAGCTAAGCGCAAGGCAACTTCACTCCTGGAGCATCTCAGTAAGTTGCAGGTGTTCTAATCCCACTGTCCACCGCACACCATTTTGTGCGTGCGCGTGTGTTTTCAACTCACGTGTATGTATACATACGGGAGACTTGTAACATCATCCGTCATTGAGTGTGAATTTAGTGGGTTGGTGATTAGTTTGTTTCGGTCAGGACCAAACGCATGTTCATCCAATCACGCTATAAATTGGTTGGTGCCCCTGAATCTGAGATGTTCCGTCCAAATATCTACTTATGACTTCTTTGTCTTCAAGATATCAACCTGACATAAACCTGATACCCTCAGCACTTCATTCCTGGGGCTCCTCCCTTTTGAAGTTTTGGAGAGCTTGAGTGCAGTCACCATCTTTACCTTCAGCATTAGTTTGTTGGGGCGAAAATGCTCTCATGGACATGATTAGCAAGGGGACCTGAATCACCTGATAAGAAAGCAACACGGTAATGATAGTTCTATGCTTTATTACTCCTACCTGCGTCTTGTTACTTTAATTCCAGGGTATCCTATATCTTTTTTTTTGAAAGGGGGTATCCTATATCTTGGCAAAAGCTTAGACTGTGATTCAGAAAAGGATACCGACGAAATGGATCCATGGCAACTCAGTTTTCAAAAAACAGATGAATTAAAATCGATGCCATGGTACCTGTTCTCGGTTTTAAACATTGAACTGCTCAGAGCGCATCTGCTTGCATCAGATGTGGACCATATCATTAGAGGATTGAGGAGTCAAATGGTACAGCACTCTGATGTAAGGATGGATTGTTTCAGTTTTTTTCAGCTTATTCTCTCTCACAGATCACTATTGAATCATTCAGAACCATCCAAAATCTACTGTTACATGCACCAGCCGAACACGTTTTCTAAAGCTTGTCTCGTCAGTTGTCACTACGTACGTACCAGATGCTCTTGTAGTCTTGTGGTGTATGGCCATGAACAGCATTAGGAGCTCCGAGAGTGTATTATAACTTTGTAGTAGGCATCCGTATTTTTTTTTGTTTTTCAGCCTTTTTTTTTAAGATTTTCATCAATACGCCTCTGGCATCCTTTCAAAAAATAGACCCTGACCTCGGCGCCATGACAATTGGCGCCGAGACGTCCAGGGTCATTTTCGTGTCGTTGACATGGCTGCTTGCGTGGCGCGGACGTGGCATGAGCTCGGCACTGTAGACCTTGGCGCCGAGCTCGGCACCAATTACTACGGCGTCGAGCTATGAAAATTGATAAATTTTAATTTTTACCATGACTTGGATATTGAGAAATATGGCTAACTCTAGATTTTTTACGGTGACTTATTGTTTGATCGCTTAAAACAGTCTAGAAATATTTAAGATAAAAAATGATTTAGGGTTTATGTTCATGAACTAACCTAAAGATGCTTCTAAGTGTTGGATCAATAGTTAACTCCTTTTTTCATGATGCTGTTTTGATCAGGGTAAAACTATAGTTTCTTTTCTAGATATGAAGTTTGACCTTTAATAGAAGTTGTAGTTTGAGTTGAGTATAATAAACTTTGCTTTTGTAACTAAACCTAAATCAGTCTTTAACATGGTCGGATTGTGGCGCTGTTTTGGCCCCTCTAAATTTTTCTAATTCCCTTATCGCCGGTGGTGAATTGACATGTTTATGACATTTTATCTTTTAAATTTGTATAGCAACTCCATTCGATACCGTACTACGAGTTTGAATACTCTCTGACGAGATGACAACAAAACAAGTCTCGTCAAGTTTGGACTTAGCCACGGTAAAAAATCAAACTTAGCCACGGTCATAAATTCTAGACTTAGCCATATTTCCACGTGCTTACAAATCATGACGTGCTTACAGGTGAGGTGTGTTGCGTCCGTGCTTGCATGTCTACACATGCACGTACGGTTTGTTGCATGCACCGATGCATCTCCTGTTAGCAATGCAATAGACGCATAGAGCCGAGCCCTGCATCGCCTCGTCGTACTGTAGGAGCCGAGCTCTATACTGTGTCGCCTGGACGTGCTGTAGTTCCATTTGGTCAGACAAATTTTTTATCTTAAGTATTTCTAAATTATTTTAAGTGATCAAACAGCAAGTCCCTGTAAAACTCTAGTGTTAGCCACATTAATCAATATCCAAGTCATGATAAAAAATAAAATTTGTTAGTTTTCATAGCTCGGCGCCGTAGCAATTGGCGCCGAGCTCGGCACTAAGATCCACGACGCCGAGGTCATGCCACGTCCGCGCCACGCATGCAGCCACGTCAACGACACGCAGAAAATGACCTTGGACCTCGGCGCCGAAGAAATTGACGTCGAGACGTGTAAGCTCGACGCAAATTCTCACGGCGCCGAGGTCGGGATCTATTTTTTGAAAGGATACTGCCAGTGGCGTATTTGTGAAAATCTTAAAAAAAGGGCCAAAAACAAAAAATCGGTAATATGCATACTGTAGTGTAGTGCTGTACCAAACAATGGGCCGGGGAGGAGAAAAAGACGATCACACCTGATTATCTGAACATTATCAACGTAATCCTCACAATAATTTAGAGACACAAAAACAAAATAAAAGGCACTTTCGCATGCAGGTCATCATAGTCACCACGAAGGTGCCGAGCAAACTGGATAGGCAATCCAAGCAAACTGACAAAAAGAGCGAACCATTTGATACCCGGAGTTGTCAAGATCGTGCGCTAGCTTTAGGCCACGCTACCGACACGGGAGCCCTTTCGTGAGCAGAGCAGAGCAGGAGAATAGGAGATGGACGCAGTCTCGAATGCAAAGCAAAGCTCCTCCGCCCGTTTACCTACCAGGATGCATTGACCTCACGCATGTCTTGTCACGCGTGGCGAGAGCAGATCTATGGAATTTGACCGTGTTTACGCCACACCCGTTCCGAGGGACACAAAAGACAAAACGGCGTGTGCAACTGCAAACGCCAGCGACCTGAAGGAGCCAATAGAGGGATAACTGAATGTTCACACCAACGCACGTCTTGTCTAGTAGTAGTCCCTGTTTAAATCAACATTGCGTGGCTCTTCCGTGGATCAAATGATCAGTCCTCCCTATATTAATATTAATTAATTAATGGTTATGGCAGGCTGCGGTTGTATGAACTGTAGAGTGGAATCCTCTCTTCCGCCGGACACTTTGTTTAGGCTCGAAATGCAAAGAGTGGATGATTTGATTCCACTCCAAATAAAAGACTGAAATGAAAGAAAATTCATGTGAAATGAAAAGATGGTTGAATTTTAGTATTTCCTTAAAGCAGCTGTTCTCGCCTCTATACCGCAAAAGGTGAGAGTGACTGCCGTCATAATTGATAAAACTAGCGACTATTGATCTGGCTTTAGAAAAATTGAAAATATGCGAAAATGAACTAGATACGTTCTGGGAAGCCTTTCTGGCTTTTAGTGTGCTGAGAAGCTAAAAATTTATTATAAAAGCTAATAACAAAATGACAACAGTGTCAACAGCGCAGGCCCAGTGGCTTTCGAAGGAGCAGCTGCTGCTTCCAGCGTACTTACCAGGCCATCACCAGTTCGGCCCAAGAGATTGATGAAGCCTAGTTCGAGGGTGGTTGGGCCCATCTTGGGTCAACTAGAGTCATAGTATAAGTAGCAAGAGGGATGTGAGAAGGAAATGGAGAGAAATATGTAAAACCCTAATTCAGTTCTAATCATTCATAGTAGCTTTACTTCTGTAATTCTATTCTTCCTGTATCAATTCCTTGCTTCCGCACCGACGGTGCTAACAAACAGTAAGAAGTAAAGAGCCAGAAAACTTATGAGGCAAAAGCCTAAAAGTTGCAGCTTAAACAAACATAAGCTTGCTTTGTACTATCAGTACAACTTACGGTTTTATAATTTCAATAGTTATGATCTTATAATTTATAGTTCTGCTGTTGAAGTTTCTATCTATCCAGGAACATGATTTTAGCAGCATATATGCAGTTAGTTTCTTTCAATCACGTAAATACATACCACTTGTTTTCTTTTTTTGAGGAAAACATACTACTTGTTTCACAATGCAATTTATTAGATTCTACAATCCAAACAATCTGCTCAAATCTAACTTTTATTGGATTGCCGCACACATGTTCACCCATCATCGTGCTATTGTGCCAACATATAAGGGCGTCCCCAAGGTAAGGTTATCTATGTCCCAGCTGATTCAGATTCTAGAATGACAAGGAGGCGAGAGGGGGGGGACTTGCTCGCGTGAGTTCACCGATTGTTTTGCCTAGAAAATGAGGTGAGAGATTGTTGGGAGATAGTCGGTGGTGGTGATGCGTACATAGAAGAGAGATTGTTTGGAAGAAAATAAGGTGAGAAAGTTATTTAAAAATGACTTCCATGTGAACCCCATATGATGAGCTAGCATTAAGTAGCTAGCGGTTGGCTATTTTTGTTGGGGATGTCCTAAGTGAGAGAAAGAGGCTATAAGCTGAATTTTTCATACTGCCAAGCAGTTATTAGCTTTGGACTCTTAATTAAACCAACTAGGACGTGGGTATACAATCTGTTTTTTTTTTCAAAATCTCTAGCCAAAACTTGCATGACCCAACAATGGAGTGTGTGAATTCTTGTGTGAACGGAAAAGTGGCGCTAGGTTTGTTCTGAATTCATGTGGTTAAGTCAAGTGGCGAGGAGTTTACTCAAACCCTTGCAATGTTTGAAAATACTTGCAAGCTTCTAATTGGTAACCAACTAACCATAAGTCCACCGTATGAATAGCCACGCTAATCGGACTTGTTGCTAGTCTACCCTACCCTATAATACACCAGTTAAAATAAATCTACAGCCACACAACAAATGTCTGCTCCACAGTCATAACCTATGCTACATCCACACCCATGAATGCACCCAGAAAATATAACACCATCAAAACGGATGCATCAGATTATCTCTTAGCCATTCTCTCTCATTACTCATCCAAATCCGACGGCTCATGTTTAGTGTGTCTGCCCTCCATCGCCCTCCCGCGGACCTCCCACGCGCATGCGCCTGCAGGTCAGGCTCGCGTTGATTTCGGTTGCCCCTCCTCTCCTCTCCCCCACGCGCTACTCGCGACTCCTCCTCTCCTCTCCCCTACGGACGAATCCTAGACGCAAAGGCGGCGGCGACGGCTTGGGCCCCAGACACGAAGAAGGCGGCGGCGGCGCGAGCCCCGGACGTGTCGGCGGTGGCACGAGCCCCGGACGCGGAGGCGACGTCGACGGTGCGAGCCCCAGACGCGGAGGTGACCGCCATGTTTCACCACCGTGTGCTCGCCGCATCTCGCAACCATCACGAGGGCGAGAACAGCCGGCGCGAGCGCGACCACCTAGACCGCCTCCACAACATCCTTGCCTGCGACCACGAGGCATGTAGACTACTTTGTCCCCCACTTGCTCCATGATTAGATCTGAAGAAGCTCTGAATGTATGTGCACGCACACATCATGGTTGCGTACAGTTTTGGTACGTACTGATTTGAGTAGATCTAAAATTTGTAATGGTTGGTAGCCTGTGTCACTCATTTCTAATACTTTGTTTTGATTAATCACTGGTTTGAGTAGCTTATTTGTGAAAACATCTTAGAATGTTCTCTGAACAAGGACACTTAAAATCATGTTGTACATGTTAAGTGCCCTTTATTCCGTAACATTACAGTGAGATTCTTGGCTGCACTTCGTAATTGATGCATGTGGTTTTGTCTCCTAAGGACATTGTGGAAGTGATAGGGTTGATGGATATGTTACTGTTGGTGTCTTGTTACTGTTTCATACATACAGAATATATGCATGGATATCAATTTTAGTTGGAGGGAAACTGTGGTTTGCCATGTGCTTCTTATTTGGGTACTCCACAGGTCGAGCTATTGTTTTGAAGGTAAAGCAAAGCTGCACTCACTTTAATGATTTGAATGAAGTGAAATAACATGTCTTTGGTTAATTGTTGTTTTCTTGAATTTTCATATAGTCAAGGAATGTTTGAAGCAATTAACTACGATTAGTTCAACCTCATGGTCTTGGACACGGTGCTACCGCTGCCGCCTCGCCTCGCAGCAGCAGCTGCTGCCTCGGGCAGCGCCGTCCCGTCCCCATCTGTGTTCGTCTCCCGCGTGGTGCCACACCTGTTTGGAGATATTCAAGGAAAAGTCAAGCAGTTGGGTGAAAAGTTTCCGATAATCAAAGGTCTTCTTGCTAATATTTTGATCCCTTCTTTGCACGCTGCAGCACTAATTTTTTATTATGCTATGATGCAATTGTATTACTCGCTGCCGTGTAATACTACTTTTCCCATGGACTCCCTGCAGCCACTGTGTTAGAACATCCATATAATTATGCCTATCCATTCTTGCAGGCGCCTTTGAGCGGAAGAAATCAAAGACACTATAGTTCTTTCAGCAATGATCGCGGCCTGCACTGTCTTTTTGATTATTTACTGGCTTTCAAAATGATGGAACTTCCTAGATCTCCCTTCTTGCAAACTTCTACTGCAGGTCTGCATTTGAGCTCAGCCCTCCTAATTCCTGGTATGCAATGATTTGTTTGACACTGGGAATTGGGAACTAATATTTATGATAGAGGCAATGGATACTACTAAGTGAAATTATAATAAACTTTGTGCACAATTTATTTTGCTTCTTCTGCCCTTATTTTAAATCCAAATTATTTTTGAGGTGCAAAATTCTTTCTACTGTATTTCTGGAATCATTCAGGTTAAACATAGTATTAATTTTGAGACCTGAAATTTACAGCCATCGTGGTTGATGTTGGGACTGCTAACAACAGTGATCTTGTTTTGCTTCCAACAAAAGTATGATACATATATTGTTTTAGCCATAATGTGATAATTTGTTTGCCTGGACACTCCATGCATTATCATATACCTTTCCCACATTCAGTTCGTGCTGGATATTGATTGTTAAACACTATTGACCTCATGTTTCATGGTGCAGCTCACCGACTAAGGTAGCTCTTGGTATTCAAGTTTATGCTTGCCGTTTCAGTCTCTGTTTTATTCTCCAAGATACTGGCAGTAGTAGGAAGCTTAATTTGCAGTTAGAGATGGAACATGAAAATACTGCATGTACTGGCCAAGTGTAGTTATTCTGTTGCTTGTCTCTGAGCCACCTGATAAGTCACACATTATCCATTGATGTGCACTCACAGTGTCCCTCTACAACCAACATTAATATTTCTATTTATGTGCCTAGAATTTCATATGTTAGGATGTGGTGCTTGAGAATGTTTTAACAAATATTTTTATTTATGTGCCTAAAATTTATTTTCTCGTATCTGTGTATATTTCATAGAATCCAATTTTGAGTTTTTTTTTTTGTAATTTTTGGGAAGTTAGGATCCATTTATTTGCTCGAGAGATTGGTTTTGCTTCAAATTAGCTTGTAGTCGGATTCTATTTATGCCCAGTTCTATTCTTTTTCAATTCAGAGTTCTCAATGCATGATTGCTTGCAGGAAATCAAAGCCAGAAAGGAGCCATCATACAGAGATTATGTAAGGTGTGGCCTTCCTATTTCTTGGTGGGCTATTGAGTTATTGATATGGCGTTCTAGAAAACTAAATCCTCGGAGAACACTGCCGGATGCAAAGTAACTTTTCACATGCCATATGTTTCATTCACGAGAACACTACCCAATGCTTGCTTTATCACCGATGGTTATCAATCATATTATTGTCATGGTTGTTAATATGGCTTGAAACAGATGATGCTAAGACTCTTTAGATTGTAATATTTGTTTAACTACTTCCTAGCGAGAGTGTTATTTCAAAAAGGAAAAATTGTCATGGCTTTGTTTCCGTTTAACTTACTCTTGTAAAAGTGAACACCAATATTTCAGTTGTCTGCTCAGCTATCAGATATGATAGGTGTAATGATCCAAAGTTGGTTTCTCAGGGGTTCTCTTAAAAAAAGAAAAAAAAACTAGCCTGTATTTCTCAGGTCATTGATATCTTTTCTCGAATGCACTGTGAAGCTTGCATGTTGCTTGCCGTGCTGAATAAGTGATCTTTGTGTTGGTTTTGAAAATCGTCTCCCATTGCAACGCAAGTGCTTGTTATGCCTGAGTGTTTTTCAAATTATATAGTTATATACAATTGTGTACAACTTAAACTATGTAAAAAATATCGTCATTTGGTTGCTTTCATATGCATCCTTAAAATAAAACCGTGGCGTTAACATGAACATTGTACTAGTGGTACTAAACTAGTGAGATTCCTCTCCTAGATTCCGTTCACCCTCCCACTTTCACATGCATACATTCCATTAGAAATGGAGGAAGATACATGTGCGGTCCATAGATTCAAAAAAAAAAAGGTTTAAAATTTTGCTAAAATTCTCAGTTTCATTGTTGTAAAAATATTCTAAATTAAATGTTCGGATAAAAAGTTACAGAATCATTACTAGAATTGTAGAAGGGGGTGAATTCCACTTGCTAGAATCATAATAAAATCAATCTGGTCAATCTGGATCTTAAAGTGGTAAAATCGTACTAGGATCATTGAGATCGTGACCAACTTGCTGCGCCATCCATCCGTCGGTGTTAGAAGACAAAGAAAGCAAGCCCCCCATAGGTCATTGGTCCATGGGCGCGGCAGCTCCGGCTAATCGGCGACACTCAGATCTGAGCTCACTGATATGGGAGCTTTTAGTGCTTTACCACCCTCCCCAAATCACGCACCCTTCCACGGTTCCACCACTACAACAACCTCTGCGTCTTCTTGACCAAAAAAGGTGAAAAAAACACACAACACAAAGGAAAGAGAAGAGAGTCTGTCCACATGTGTTTAATGAAGTTTCAACACATAAATTTTTTAGCACCGTAGAATTAAGATCCAACAACCTCCACCATTCTTCTATTTTTAGCCTCCGGTCTTCTTTTATCTTCAGACAATCACAAATCACGAGATCACAGATCACAAGAAATATTTTTTTTGTAGAAGGATAAATCACAGATCGCAGAAGTGTTTATGTGTTCGTTATGACATATGATCCCTAGACATCATAAATAAAAAAAAATCCATGTATTTTTTTATATTAAAACACATATGTATTATATGTGTTGTATGGCGTTTCTAAAAGAGCCCCACTACCTCGGCATCTCCCTCCGGCTCCCTCCTCGAGCCTCCCTCTCCTCCTCTGACTCCCCCCTTTTAAAATTCCCTCGCCGCCGCGGCCCGCAGACCCGCACCGCGCACACAAACCCTCTCGCCTCGCAAGTCGAAACAGCAGCAGCAGCGGCCGCGCCACCGCACCCCGTCCACGAGGCCGTAAACCGCAATGGGGAACAGCATCGGGGGCAAGCGCAAGAGCGCCAAGGTGATGCAGCTAGACGGCACCTCCTTCCGCGTCAAGCCCCCCGCGGCCGCGGCCGACGTGCTGCGGGACCACCCGGGCTTCCAGCTGCTCGAGTCCGAGGAGGTCAAGCTCCTGGGCGCCCGCGCGCGCCCGCTGGCACCCGACGCGCCGCTCCGCCGCGGCCGGCTCTACTTCCTCGTCGCGCTCCCGCGCCGCGCGCCCGCGGGGCCCATGCGCCGCGCCTGGTCGGGCAACCTCAACGTCGGGGCCCGCGAGCGGCTCGAGTCGCTCAAGCTCGCGCGCCGCTCCACCTCCGACCTCTCCTCGCTCCCCGCCCACGCCTCCGCGTCGGCCCCCACCTCCCCGCTCCCCGGCGGCGCCACCTCCCCGCTCCCCGCCGCCGCCAGCGGCGGCGCCACGCCCGTGCGCCTCAAGATCCGGCTCCCCAGGGCGCAGGTGGAGAAGCTCATGGGGGAGAGCAAGGACCCCGCCGAGGCCGCCGCCAAGATCATGGAGCTCTGCGGCGCGCACGCCAGCGCCCGGGTCACCCCGGAGCGCCCGCCCGGGATACTGCGGAGCCCAAGGTTCGCCAAGACGCCGGAGTGGGGCGCAGGGTTCATGCTGCCGCCGCCGGCGCCGGCCAAGACGCCGCAGCGGTGGCCCACGCTGCCACGCACCAACGAGGTAATTCGTCTGTATCTAGATTTAACCCCCATCCCCACGTGCATTGCATTATTGTTTGTTGATTTGTTCCCATAAGACGTGAACACAGTAAGATTTGCACGCTGCGACAGAGAAACGTGATTTGGGATCCGTTCGATCTCTTCTTATTAGTCCTTATTAAAATTACGATTGAAATTGTAGAATGCCCATTTGTTTTAAGATCGCCTTGCTCATTGATTACTCGTTTTTTAGAATGATCAATCTAGTGTGAACGCCCGCGCTAGCACGGACGAGGTTACATGGCAGCATTGCATTTTAGATGCAGTTTCCCTGTCGTTGCAGAGAACATGTAGCCTGTCTCGGTGGGGCACTAAGCTGTAGAAAAGTGGACGTGAAACTGCTGTTCTCCGCTCATTGCGGGGAACAACGAACACACAAGTGCGCTGGATGCAGGAACATGATAGACTTCTCCAGTGGCAGCTGGAGAAGTTTTGACAAAAGTAGGATACAATCAGTGTTATTCTAAACGGGCACTTAAACAGGCGAAACAGCTGTTTATACGGGCTAAACAGCCGTTTAAATGGAACGGTGTACCACTGGCCGTTTAGACGAACAGTGATTATACAATTGTAGGACGAAAACGAAGTTCCTTTGTCATGTTTGTGCCAATAGCTGAATATCTTGAGCTTGGAGTAATCTAAATGAAGTTGATGGTTGTTACGTGCAAATGACACTGCCTTGTAGTATGGTTGACTATTCGCCACCCCCCCCCACCCCACCCACTAATTCAGGTTCCATTTTGATGTTTCAGAAAAAGGCACGGTTCGTGGAGTTGCCGGACGAGCTAATAGCATGACTCTACTTCCCTGAAGCGAGTTAACACTTCTTTTCTATTTACCGTCGCAACCATGTTTGGTGATGGTCAGACCAGGAGATAAGGAATTGTAAACTTATCTTCAGGCGGCGCTGTACTTCTTCCGCTGCTCATTTGAGGGAAACAAGTATGGTTTGAAGATGAGAAGCTGCCGATGGCTTCCGATTCACCTTGATCCAGAGTGTCATTCTGACACCGTGTTAGATTGTCAGTATGTTTCCTTCCGCCATCTCGAATCTCTGTGTGTTCCTGTTGGTTTATTATTAGCCCACCACTATGATGCGTTATGTGCAACAGTGCAAGGCCAATTATTCAGGTCAACTCTGGTTGCCATTGGGTAGCTTCGTCTTAGGAAGAGGCGCATGTGCATCTTCATCTATACATACACCTCTCTTCAAGTATCAGGGATGCCAATCTTGTTCTCTGAATTATCTCATCCGTTCCTGCATGATTTTGGAATGAATGAAAACTTAAAAAAGAATATAATGCACATATAACAGTTGCTCTACGCTGAATGGATCCTTGAGTTGAACTGGTCGATCGTCTCGTCTGTTGAAGAATTATTGGGAGGCGTTGTTGCTCAACTGAATTCCTCATCAGCACATGCAAGAGCATCATCATTTGCAAAAGTCGTGCATTGCTGCACCTTAAGCATTTCTTATTGCCACCGATCACGCGGATTTGGATAAAGATATTGCCGCCAATCACCAGTAAACCTGCACATGCGGTAGGATCTGACCTAGACCTACCATTCGTATATACAATGCGCCGAAGTCAGAATAACATGCGTGTCGCGCTTCTTGAACGAACAAGGCGATCTCAAACTTCTTCTGGACTCGCTCCGGTCTTCAGGCTCAGGGATGTTCTCTGAACCTCACTTGCCGCCCTCATAATGCACAGTTTGTTGCACCACCCAGAAGGCCAGAGCTTCTAGTCCAGCACGGCTATTCATGAATCATGATTTGTATTTGTTGACCTTAAGGAACAATTTCGTTTGCCACCACCAGTGTTTACCGTTACATATGGAAAATAAGTTCCTTCCACACATTGCAATTGTTCAGATTTGAAAAAAAAATGCAAATTAGTGCTCCAGCTTCATATTCACCCGAATCTGATTTGTGCAATTCTCATAAATCGGTCTACCTATGAACGAATTAGCATCCTAGAGCGAGCGTATCTAACTACTACTATCTAGTACTCCCTCCGGTTTTGATTTTAAGGTCGGTTAGGGCAAGGTTTAGCATACCAAGGTGTAATTAATTTGGATCTATTCTTCCATGTTTGCCCTTATTAAATATGCCTCGGAGTTGCTTCAATACAACAACCTCTCTCCACCCGAGTGGCTATTGCATTTGTTCTGCAGTCTTGAGGTCATGGGTTCGATTCCTGAGTTGTGCTGGTTTTTTGCGATTTTGCCGTTTTTGCATGCGTCCGTTCAAAGAGGAGCGGGGAAGATGAGAGGGCTGCCGCGCATGCAGTTTAAAACGCTGATGAACGACCTCTATTTTGAAATCGCAACAATCTCCAGAACGACTTTAAAATCAGAACTGGAGGGAGTACCTAGTATGAATTTACTAGTTCATTACTTTAGAAACGGGATGTGAAGTGAAGAACTGAAACATCATGTGCCAACTTCTTGGTGGCCCTTTATTTATTGGATTGGTCGACGATGTACAACAATTTCTTGTGCCTCTTTTCCTTATGCTTGACTATTGAGGAGCATTAGCTACTGGCAGGGTTCTAGGATTCAAATGACAAAAAAAGGAGGATCTGACTGAAATGGGTGAATCTTGGAAAATTTCGATAATTTTGGATCTAAGATTCACTTGTTTTGACCGATCTAAATGTTCAGGTTTACCTAATATTTGGCTGAGTTTTGGCCAAAATTTGGTCAAGAGGAATGATATCTTGATAAGTTCGCCTTCTATATTGAAGGAAGAACTTGTAGGTTTGTTGTTTGAGCTCTAGACTTGACTAAACATTTGAATTTCACTGAAATATTTTACCAGTATGATGTTGTTTCTGGCATCACTGAAAACGGTAATGCTCTCCTCAGGGCGCTTCCTAGGCCTGCGCGCTACTGGCCCAACAATGCCTGCTCTCTCTCTCTCTCAAAAATAGATAAGACCACTCCCCACCGAGACTCATCCCCTCCACTCCACTCATTCCTTCCGAAGCAGATAAGGCATGCCGCCATGCCCACGCGCCCGACCACCGCCTGCCACGGTCGGCGGCGTCGCAGGCTTCGTCCTCGCACCGGCAGTGCCCCGCGTGACTTTCTGACCTAGCGCCGCCTTCCACGCCCCGGGCCCCTCCTTGTCGGTGCGGTTCCCGGCCAAGCCGTGGGTGCGGGCGTTGCCGGCGAGGCTTGTGGTGCTCGCACGATACTCGCCCTCGTACGAGAGCGAGGAGGAGAAGGAGGAGGGGCTTTGGGGCGGAGGCTAGGAGGAGGAGGGACCGCGAGTTCCCCACCAAGTAGACCGGCGACACTGTGTTTCAAGCGTTTCAGACGTTTTAGACTCATGTTTCAAGTGTTTTATCTGGATGTTGCAAGTAGATCTTAGGATGTTGCATATGTTGCAATGACAATATACACATGTTGCCAACTTATGTTTCAAGTGTTTCTGTTGTTTTTCAGACGTATGTTTCAAGTGTTCATCTGGATGTTGCATAACATGCATGTTTCAAGCGCATGTTTCAAGTGTTTCATACGTATGTTACAAGTGTTTCATCTGGATGTTGCAGAAGTAGATCTAGATGTTGCATATGTTGCTATGGCTATACACGCATGTTTCAAGTGTTTCATCTGTTTCAGTCGTATGTTGCAGGTATTTCAACTGTATGTTTCAAAAGTAGATCTAGGGGAGCACATGTTGCAATGGCCCTAGTGGTCGGGGGATAATACCGCCGTGATGCTTTGCTATTCTTCTTTTGGGCGCGTCGTCGTCAGGTCACCGTCTTGGGCGCTGAGGCGCGCGCAGACGCTTGTGGTGGCGCGCATCCGTAGGCGGGGTGACGTGGGCACACTCCTGTCTGTTACGACCCTATTACGTGGGCGCGGCGAGTGCGATGCGTTCGAACAGGGAGCAGCATCCGGACGCCTCCTGTGCCCCAGCAGCGAGCCCTTCCGTTCATCAAATGTTATGTTGGGGGATTGATATATGTCACCATGCTATTTGCGGCCAATGTAGTAGTCGCCTCCCGATTCCTCCTCCCTGTGGGTCCAATCCGATCGATTTGGGCCTTCCCGCGGACCTGGCCAGCCTCGCAATAACAACCCAAAGCTCGCATGGGTCAGAGCGCTCACACTCCCCGAAGTGGGACGACAAAGTTCACCCGCTGGCTCGCCCTGCCTACTGGGAGTTTTTAAGCCTCGGGTTTTGAACGTTCCAAAAGCCAAAAACCTCTTGGAAGCCAAAAGCCAGAAGCTCATTATAGTGAACTTTAGGCTTTTGGCTTATGGGAACTCTTTGGCCTTTGTAAAGTCTAAAAGCTAGTCATCTAAAAGTGACTAAAAGCTCAAATAAATAGGGTCTAAACTAGCATGAGTGGCGCGCTTCGTCGCTCACACTCGTTGCACGTTGTAATGCCCTAAAACGCGGATCTTATTTATTGGACACATCTACACAATTTAGGTAGTAGGCCGCCTAGCTAGATAAAATTTCAGTTGGACCGCTTGCAAGTTAATTTCTCTGCAATTCACTAATACTTAGGGTCATGTGACTCGACATCATGTCCACAAACGAAAGAGTATGCAGTATGCTACGTAGCATGGATTGATAGACTTGGCAGGACAAAACACTTTTTAGAGCTTGAAAGGGTACCATAACATACGGGCATAGATTGTCGCAGTTGGCAAGATGGGGAAATTAGGAGCACCTACTACCCCATCAACCTGATATATGATGTCAGTTCTCTGAACTGATCCAGGGGAACATTGATGCAGAACTCAAATTTCCTTCCATTATTATTCTATATAAACTTGTGACCCAAATACTATCTATATGAATACGCTGACACCAGCATCGTCGTCGATGTCGATGAAGTCCAGAACACCTACCATGCCATCTCATCTGTTGTTGGACCAAAGAACACTTGTCCAACGATTTGACTGGGGGTTCATCTCCTGCCTACGACTAATGAGGCAATGCTGAAATTCACAATGGCACTCTAATAATCAGTTAAGGATTTTTTTTGTTGCTATTTCAGTTTTAGTTGTACA